AAAAAAAAAAAAAAAAAAAAAAAAAAAAGAATGATAGATAATGCCACTGCCCAGATATCAAGAGAGGGTAACAAAAACAGGACGTATGGTGACAGTGGGTTCGGAACCAGCCAGCCACTGCTCCTGGCCGGAATCGAGCAGCGTGTTTCTGTTAGTTACTGGCCGGGCTGCTATTCTCTGCCCCCGTGCTGGAAAAGCTTGACGCAGTGGTGGCCTCACATCACACCTGCCACTTTCACCTCTGCTGGTGGTGTTAGAATCAGCAATGGACATGAAGGTGGTTACCAAGTGGAGGGATGAGATGGGGTTTGGAGGGGGCAGGCTTTGGCATCACCCCCACCTGGGTTCATATCCCAGCTTTGCCACTTACTGGCTGTGTTTCTCTGGGCAAGTAATGTCACCTTCCGGCTTCCATTTCCTCATCGGAGAAATGGGGATAATTTTATTTGTTTTTTTGTTTGGGTTTTTTTGTTTTGAGATACTCACACTCTGTCACCCAGACTGGAGTGCAGTGGCACAATCTTGGCTCACTGCAACCTCTGCCTCCCAGGTTCAAGCGATTCTCCTGCCTCAGCCTCCCGAGTAGCTGGGATTACAGGCACGCACCATCATGCCCGCCTAATTTTTGTACTTTTAGTAAAGACAGGGTTTCTCCATGTTGGCCAGGCTGGTCTCGAACTCCTGACTTCAAGTGATCCACCCACTTCAGCCTCCCAAAGCGCTGGAATTACAGGTGTGAGCCACCATGCCTGCTGCACCCAGCCCACGGTACCCTTATTTGGCGGTGACACTGATCCCCAGTAGCCTGGAGGCTGCACACATTGCCCAGGGTTCCATGGGGCCAGCCTTCCTCCAGTGCTGTGAGAGGAGACAGATTGTTCTCCCCTCTAGAGACCAGGCTTACAGGGTTGATACCAGATTCCTGGGAGTGTCTTCACAAGGGCAGGTCTCAGCCCTGTGCATTCAGCCAGGCAGTGGCCACCCATGGCTGGTGTCCAGACTCCCACGTGCTAATGGAGATGTCCAAAGAACGTGTCCTATAGCAAGGCCCTACAGGTGCTTCTGCACACATTTCTGCACGCTCTGCTCATTTAACTGGGACCAGGGAAGCTGGAGAACTTGTATTTTGTCACTAGTAGTCAATCCACAAACATCACTGTGGCTGGCGGTGGGCCAGGCCTGCCCCTGCTTCTGCCACCGGGTGTTGTTTGGACTCAGCACCTCCACCAGAACAAATGAGAGGCACAGATACAAACCCAGCAGTTCCTTTTCACGGAGAGAAGCTTGGCCAGATCATGCACTTGTCCCTCGCCAACCTGGAGTGCCCAGGGGAGAGAAGTCTGTCCTGATGTTGTGAACCCACAGTGATATGATTGTCTCCCGGTGTAAAACATGCAGACATAGGGCTCCTAGAACTTTGAGGACCCAACCTGTACTTTGATCTGAGTTCCTTTGGTGAATGAGAGAATGTGCATGCTTACTTAAGAAACGCTTTATAACCCTCATTGATAGCACATTATGAGTCACAGTTCTAGCCTGACCTGTGAATTCTATGAAAAGCCTTAACAAATAGACTTACCATGGTGATCCTTCTCAGTTACTGTGTTTAAATATAGCATGGGCTTGGTGGCTCATGCCTGGAATCCTAGTACTTTTGGAGGTCGAGGCAGGAGGATCATTTGAGCCCAGGAGTTCAAAACTAGCCTGGACAACATGGCAAAACTTCAGCTTTACAAA